CTGAAGGGATATGGCCACGATAGACATATGATAAACAATCAGACGACACGTGGCGTTGGAATCCAGTTATGCCAATGTAGATGCCTCTGTACAGTGAAAACTGGCGAATTATATAAATAATAACAGCACTCAACAATACAGTTTGTCCATTTGATAAGCTATTCTGTATTAGTGAATGTGGTTTGTTTGATAGGTTTTTGGCTACATTGAATAACTGAGCATCTCATTGGCTTTCATGCAGAATATAGAAAGGACTCTGTTATCATTTTCGAAATTCAGATTAGATGTCAGTGTAATCCAACGATTCATGAAAAGTAAATTTTGTTGTGTTGAAATAATCAAACTGAAGCCTACAAATTAAAGTTTAGCTTTAAAAACAACGAAGCGATGAAGTAATTGTAGACCGATAATCTTTCGAGCATCTTATTACAGTGATGTCGCACGTTGACGTCATTATTCTTCTATATCATCCACTATCTTTTTTCAACTTCTTTTCATCTCTATTGGTATCTTTTTTTCTTTCGTTCTTCATATACATATTATATATGTTTTCGTTTGTTTTCCAGTCTGTACACATATAAGGATCGTGCATATACATCAGCACATATAACATCCAATATATATAATAAATAAACAAGAAAAAGGAAGAACGAAACTCTAACACATCTCTTTCTGCAGAGTCTTCTCCTGCGTCATTCAAAAGAGAGCACTTTCTATATTCTTTGTTCGTAAAAAGATTATACATTGAATATCAAATGACTGTGCATTCAGTTGAATAGCTTGAATCACTCATGCTTTTGACTCTCTTGAGTCAATTTTCGCTAATTATCAGGAACTGCTGAGTATTTATTAATACAAACATTGGAAAAGAGTACTCCAAAACCCATCGTATAAAATATAGAAGTGATATTTTTATGCCCAAGTTAATGGTTGAAGTTATTTCACAGTTTTTTTTCACAGTAGATTTCTTTTCATACTTTTTGTGACTGAAACATTCAATTTATTCTCCGTATGACACGGGTAAAATTAATATAATGCTTCGATCAATTATGCTCAGAATATCAATCTAATGGAAATATATTTTTGTTGAAATTTTCTTTCAAATTAATATAAGCTGAAGATATTTTGGTTTTTATTAATGATATTATACATATAAAATACAAATAAAACCGATTATTTTGTTAGATTCAAGTGAAAAGAAGCACTCTTGCAAAAAACACGAGAGCATTGAAAAACGTTGTATTCAAATCTGTTGACGAATCTTATTGTGTTAGTCGATTCATCGATTAAACAAGAATCAAATACTTTGAAACATTTTAAACAAGAAAAACACGAGGAGAAAAAGTAAATTTATGATATGTATTAAAAACGAAATGTTGATATTTACCTAACTGTCATTGTAAAATTTTTTCAAATAATTTTAGCGTCTTTTAGATTTCCTTCCCAGACAGGCATGACCTTCAAGAAAACGCGTTAATACGCGTTAAAGACGATGAACCCGTTAAAATGCGTAAAATTTTTTCTGAACTTACGAGTTTTTACTTATTTTCTTTTATAGTTTCTACTGGTTTTAACGCGTTCATAGTATCATACGCATTTTAACACAGGAATGTTGTTTTGAAACAAAGCGTTTTTGATAGAATGTGTGTTTTTGAGTTAAACTTTAACGAATTATTTTTTGTTTTTAAGAAGGATTTTATGCGTTTTTACGCGTTCTTCCGACTCAAACAGACAACATTTCTGAAAAACGCGTCTTAACGCGGAAAGGTTAGCTGACAACACATATTCTTATGCATATAATTTCAAACTAGTTTTACTACATTCAAGAATAGCTCGTTATTTTCTGTTTTTTTAAATAATTTAGTGCACGTAAACGAATTTGTTCCTAAAGGTTTATTAAAATAGAGAATCTTTAGTTAGATAAATTATGCTTATGTGAACATACATGATGTAAAAGGGATTATTTATATACTTCTCTAATTTTTGACAAGAATGGCAAATCATTGTTCATTCCGAAAAAAATGTAATATTTCAAAAAGACTTACGAATTCTTTGTTTTCTTTATATATACGAGATTATACCAGCTTTTATTGTGTACCGTATGACTTGTTTATGTATTATTTTTATTGAAGTTTCAGTATGGTTCTGATATACTTACGATATAGTATAGCTATTTTTATATTTTTTTCTTTAATTCATTCAGTAGTTATCATGACAAATTGTCAAAAAAACTCAAGGAGATAAGTTGTAAAAGTTAAATAGATACGTATAACAGCAAAAATAAAGTAAAAAACAGTCAGCTGTTTAAAATGATAATTAATAATAACTGTTTCAAGAATGTTTATGTGGATTCTAACAGATTTGGAAAGATATAAAATTCACAAAATGAATTCATATTTGCGTTTTTTCAATAGGTAACTGTCTCTCTGATCGACGTATAACTGATAGAGAAATAGTATGTGGTAGTGTTGGCATCATTGTATAAATAAATTATTTTTATATTCTGCTCCATTAAGTGAAAATGATTCATAATCAGTAACTTGTACTGCATCAATAATAACTTTAATTTCATTTGTTGCCTTTAGTTGTATAATGCCAACAATTAAACCAAGATGAACATTATTTAACTCAGCAGAATATATCAAAGCTGAATCATCCACTTGATTATTACTCGAATGATGAACTTTGAATGGCACTTCTTTATACAAGCGCAATGTATGGCGAGTGTATTGATTCTTGCCGTACTTGTTCTCGAGATAGGTAGTAACATGCAAAAATTTAACACATGTTGTCTGAGATAGACGGATATCAACATCAGGTCTGATGCATGTTGGCACAGCACGTCTCTTTGAACATTGAATTTGATTAATGAGTACAGCAATTTTCGGGTGAAACGAAGGATTTTTTTAAAAAGTAGTAGCATGAGATTTAAGCTCGTAATTGTTCATCAGCTCACAATGGAACCTCATGTACGGTTGAGCAAAAAGATTGATCATGTTCAGGTTAAATGATCACTTTCACCGAGAAACTAACGTATTTAAAATATACGCTGCTGATGGTATACCTGGACAGAGATATTCAATGTTTATGTTATGTATTATTCGGGTATAGAAGCATGATAATATATGAACTATTCACATCAACTTTTTAATATAATCATCAAATTTTTCATGAAGCGAGTTTCCAAAACCTTGGTGAGCTTCATTGACAATATTTAGGCTTTTCTATATACGACTTCTTCTGAAGTTTAATAGCACCGAATAGGAGATATATTGATTATCATATATAGAAATCTGTCATTCATCAATACTTTTTGACTTTATTTTACCGAGAAATTAATAAATTATACAAAATAATATTTCAAAAGAGGTACTATAGATGAAGATGGAGATCTTCAATCAAGTGATAATAACCAAGGTGTCTTTTGCACCAAGCGCAAATGAGAAGGGTTCGTTCCTCACAAATAATAACTGAACAAAAAAGGTCATAGAATTTAAAGCAATTGTTCTTTAGTTTGTTAATTTCACTAATTGTTTCATTGAGTATTTTAGCTTGCACGAATCCAGACTTAATGAAATTTTTAAATTGTGGAGCAGATAATTGGTTGTGAATGATAGAGTGCATGTTTATGAAATATTGACGATTGTTCAAGTTCATTTCTGTTCGACTGATAAGAACATAATGTTCAATTTTCTCGTGAACAAATCGCCATGAACGAAACAAGGGCAGATCTTGTGGTTGAATATAACCAGTTGATCTTTTAGGAAAAATCAATAATTGACTGTCTTGATGTGGAAATACTGCTCTACATTTTTTTAGATCAGCTTGAGTTGTCCAACAATCAAAGAAAAGAAGGCATTTTCTGCCAACCAAAATACGTAGAACTTCATATAAAAAAGTGCGATGTTTTTCATTGCTGCTTTTTCCAGATTTTGTAGCCCGTACGACAACATTTGATGGTACAATTAACTCTATCTCTACTCTTTTACCGAATTCATCTTCCTTTTCTTGGAGAATGAGGAAAAAATTGTCTAATAATTGACCATCAGCTGATGTAATAGGCTACACGGTATAAGAGCGTGTTATATCATTCTTCTTTTTAACAGCAACTTCTGTTGTTCTTTTACCAGCGAAGGAAAGAGTTCTTGTAGAAATATATTCTTGTTGAAATGAACAATGATCGGTGTTCAAAATTTGATGGGGAGCATAATTCAAAATTAAAGATCTTTGATTTTCGATCCAGGCATAAGTATCTAAATACATACATATATCACATTAGAACATATAAATTCGAATCTCAAGTAAACGTTTTGCGTACCTTTTAAACTACAAATATTTCTCGTTGAACAAACTAGAGTAATAAGTTTGTTGTACCTTCTTGATGGTGTGGGTGTGGGTGTGGGTGTGGGTGTGGGTGTGGGTGGGGGTGGGTGTGGGTGTGGGTGGGCAGGGTGGGGGGCGGGCGGGGGGCGGTGGCGTCTCGCGACGNTTTTGAAAATGATTTTCTGCTTTTGAGAGTTTAAAAGGTGGCAGCACTGACCCACACCCACATCCCACACACCCACACCCACATCTCACACACCCACACCCCCCTCCCACACACCCACACCCACACCCACACCCACACCCCACACCCACACCCACACCCACACCCTTTTATGTCGAATGCAAAAGAAAGTGGCGCACTTTTTCTCAGGATCTAATGCTGATTCTAACCTGATGTAAGATTTTCATATCTGTTTTGAACGTGAAAACTGACTTTACCACCCCTTGTTCTTTTATGCTTGATTCGATAGTAAAATAATCAAGCTTCTGTACAGATAGTATGCTTGCTAAAAGTTGTGATCAGTCAAAATTTATTTTGATTGACTGAATAATCATGTTATAGACGGAAAAAAGGATTTAGCTACCGTTTGTAGACCATAGTCTTTTAGTCTATAAAACAGATTCAATGTAAGAGGTCGCTTCTAAAACTTGATATAAATTCAACAAGCTTACGCTTATAATATCTTCGATAATGGATTTTGAAGGTTTACAACCTTAATAGGCCCTGATTGTAGAACATCACTACCGAATTTGTTTCTGTCTTGCATGGCAATATGATTTGGATATGCAGCATATGCTATAAGTGCATCATTGCTTATATATGGATGCCAAAACATATCAGACACTTGCGGTGTTTCTGTGTTAGACCAGTTAATTAATTTTCTAGCTACCGTCGAATTACGAATAATATAGGCGTCCGCGCAGTAAAATGTATGTGCTCTGCAAATATTATTTGGATAAACGCGTTTACACTGCATGTCACTGTGATCCAAAAAAAACATTTCCCAGTCATTTGGAAGTGAACTCAGGGCTTCTTTAAGGAGATACGATGCATTAACTTCCAGATCAAAATCATCTTCGAATATAAGAACAGGTCGATCATTTGCTGAGACTGCGTTGATTACTGTAAAATAAACTTGCAAGTGACTCTGCCATGTAGCTGTCTGTCCATTGGTGTTAGTTATACTGGATATGTTCTGAACAAATTTGGTTCTTGGATCGAATCTATCCATTTGTTGAAGAAATTTTCCAGCATCAATAGCCGGAAATCGTTTAAACGGAAGCTTGAGATAACCAAGCAATTTCGATACATGAGCAAGCCTGTCTTTTCTAATGTCACGGTTGATAACGAGCACTTTGTCAATTCCTATTTCTTCCAATGTTAAAAATCTCTGTGATGTATAGTTTGCATTCGACATCGTTTGATTGTGTGTCATTGTTGTTTGTGTCGTAAATATACTAACACTAGGAGCACGTTTCTCGCTGGTTGCATTGAGTCCCACAAGCACACAACAGTAAACACAACCATAACTAAATTTGTTATCATGCACTTCAAATATTTTTTGTCCATTTACAGAGGGCGAACATCCATTTAAACCAAAAGATGACTGATTTTTCAGCCCATCTTTAAGAAAACAAAAGCCATTGACGTGAGAATCCTCTGGATAAAGATTTGTTATATTCAAATGCATGGTTCTATCACAAGATCTCGCCTCCTTATGCCAAATAAATATGAAATAAATATTAACCAAAATGCATAGAAATAACACAATGTAAAAATGATTTGAAGTCGTTTTCTGAAGCTGCAATGCGTATTTGAGATATATAAATACGGAATTTGTCATTTGAGAATTATCCAATTGTTAACTTGACTTGTATTGCCGGTCTATAATTAGGGAGAAAGTTTAATGCTCTATCCTGCGTTACTATAGTGTCTAGTATCCATGTAAGGGGGGATAGTGGGTATGGGTGTGAGTGTGGAAGGGTATAGGAGAGCGTAGGACAGGAATATGGGTTTGGATTATCTTTTCATCGACATCTATATCCCATATCCGCACCCTCTATATTATTTAAATGACAAACAGAAATTTAAGAATAAAGGAAGATTTCTTTCTATGGTAGTCAAACAGACAAATAGCTAGCATACCAGCGGAATATGTTGATCAATGTTCTTTCTTATCAGCAACAACACTTTCACACGCGATGCTGTTAAATATGAGAATGATATAGTAAACGGTATATGCAAAAAAGCCTGCCCTATTCCTTTTTTCGCATCCATGACGCTAAAATATTTTTGTGAGCTAGCTCAAGAAAATGAAAGACAATGTGTTCATAAAAACAAAATTTTCTTTATTACTTAATGTATCTCTATTTTATGAACATCAATATTGTGAAACTCATATATATTTTCGAAGAAAATAGTGACTGGAAGTTTGAAGTCGAAGTTTCACAGCTCCTTCCCCTCCGCCTCATTACAGACCACAGTAACTAGCCATCTCCCATTATAGGTATCAACAACAAGACTTCGACTGTTATAGAACATTCCAAAGCTTTCTTTGAACTTTAAATGGTTCTAATATTATTTTTTAATATTTTAAATAGTGTAAACTTTTATATTTGTACATATAAAAATTTCTATTGAGGATCCAAATAATGACGGACAATGATAAATTGATTTGCCACTCATCAAAAGATCAACATAAAGTATCTCAATTGATCAATCTATAACTTTAAAAAATATCCAATATCAGAGTTTATGAGATTATCAAGATAAATATAATAGGGTGTCAAGAAATGCTGATATAGATGTAATGAATCTTTACAACGGGTTTATTCGTCAATTAATTCAATGTTCAAAATAATAATACTAAATTTAAAGTAAGTTAAACGAAATACATACGTAAAAGTAAAAAAACGAGCGAATAGCTATCAGTCAAACAGAATAAAAACAAACGAGCGCCAGTATATAAAAATAAAAAGAAAATTCGATTCGGAATGCAGAAACAAATAAGAGATGTCGGCTATTTGGAGATCGCCTACCTTGAAAAACAGTTATGCACTCTGACAAAATAAGATTTCCCCAGAAACCGAAACTCTTTTGGCAAAACATAAACGTATCCGGAGAGGTTTCGAGTCAATGCTGAGTTACTGAAAATACCTGATGGGTTTCAGAGCCCCTGAAACGGTTGGGTTTTCGAGAATTCGGATCCGAAAATCTTTAACAGTATTCTCAGAAACTCTAATACTATTTTTCAGAGCAAAAAGTATCCTCAGAAACCATTCTTGTTTTGAAAAACTTTCTCAGAAACCTTTAGTTTTTCGACTTTTTTCTCCGAAAACCTGTTTGGGATTTCTGGAATCTGAAATGTTGAAAGCATATGACACACAACCAGCGTAGTTTTTGAACATATTTTGAGAACCTTTTGAGGTTTGCGAATTACCAGAAATCGTTGAGTTTTCGAAGAAAAAGTGTCGGAAATCCATTAAACATTGTGGAAAACCTTGATGGTATTAAAATATCCTATTTCTCATCTTCACCTTCCCATCGTGTAGTGTACAGGTTTTGAATACAGGTGGACCATATTTTTCTCGTGACTTAGTTCACGTAACGCTTAAGAAGCTTAAATATCTTTACTTATTTGCTAATATTAATAAAGAATAAGCGCCAGATGCGACTTAATTAGTAAACATCAGCCATGATCTGGTAATTGAACCATTAGTGTTAGTTATAACGTCTGTTGTTAACATTTAATCTACTTAAAGTTAAATGCTTGAGTGGTTAGATAGATGGAAATAGGTATGTGACAGCTTCAGCTCATTTCGCAGAGCTAAAGGTGCCTACCAGTTCTCCGATTCAGCTCTAGCGTTCAGTAAACCTATAGCTGTCATAACCTTTTCTAGAGCATGCTAGTATCATTCGTTATGATGCTACAAGAATGCTTATGAGCATTAGAAATAATTTTGTGGATGATCCTTACATGTGGACTTAAATGTCTTCTTAGCCATATTAGACAACGCGCCAAATACTGCGGACGGATTATTCACATCCGGAAGGCCTAGGAAGCCGACTAAGATCTGAGTTAGGTCAATTGAAAATGCTCTTTTTTTCTAAAATGTCGAAGTATGTTGATTTGTCATCTAGAAGAATAGATTGTTATAGAATAAGGCATTATGAAGGCTTTTTGATAATCCTCAACTTTGTTTTAGGTGAATACTACTTATTGATAAAAATCTATTTGGGTGAAAAAGGCTTTTAAAAGCCTGTTTTGAGAGAATCTTGAAATAAGTCGATGTTTTGTCCAAATGAATAAATTCTAATAGAATAAAGAATTTAAAACCTTTTTGACTCTCGTCACGTATGTTTTAGGTCAATACTCATTGATAAAAAAAATGTATTTTTGTGGAAAAGGTCTTTAAAGACTTTTTTTAAAGAAAATTCTTGCCATAATCTAAGTTTTGATTCAAATAAATGAATTCTAATAACATAAGATTATCCTAGCAATGGACGGGTTTGAACTGATGAGCTGAGAAGTTAACCATGTTCGGGTCAAATGATCACTTTCACCGAGAAACTAACGAATGTAAAATATGAGCTGCCATTGGCTTCCCTGGACAGAGATATTCAATTTTTAAGTTATGCGTTATTGTGGTATAGAAGCATGATAATATATGAACTATTCATATAAACGTTTTAATATAATCATCAGAGTTTTTAGAAAATGACTTTCTACAATCTTGGAAAAACGTATTAATCATATTCAGGCTTCTCTAACTACAACTTCTTCTTAAGTTTCATGGTACCAAATGGGTGAAATATCGACTATTATATATAGGAATCCATCATTCACCCATCTTTTCGACTTTATTTTGCTGAAAAAAATGAACTACAGAAAGAATATTCCAAAAGATGTATTACAAATGGAGATGAAGGTCTTCAATCAAATGATAATAAAACAGGTGTTTTCTGCACCAAGCGCAAGTTAGAAGAGTCCGTTCTTCACAACGAATAATTGAGCAATAAAGATCGTAAAATTTTTAAGAAAACATCGTTTGGTTTGTTGATTTTACCAACTTGTTCGTTGAGTATCTTGGCTTGTACGAATCCGGACTTGATGAGACTTTTAAATTGTGGAACAGATAATTGATTATGAATGATCGAATGCATATTTATGAAATATTGATGATCATTCAAGTTCATTTCTGTTTGATTGATATGAACGTAATGCTCTATTTTCTTGTGAAAATATAGCCATGAACGATATAAAGATAAATTCTGAGGTTGAATATAACCAGTCGATCCTTTAGGAAAGATCAATAGCTGGCTGTCTTGAAGTGGAAATACTGCTCTAAATTTTTTAGATCAGTTTGAGTTGTCCAACAATCAAGGAAAAGAAGGAATTTCTTTCCAACCAAAGGTCGCAGAACTTCATTTAAAAAAGTACGATGTTTTTCATCGCTGCTTTTTCCAGATTTCGAAGCCCGCACTAAGACATTTGGTGGTACGATTAAATCTTTTTCTACTGTTTTACCGAATTCATTTTCCTTTTCTCGGAGAATAAGTAAACATTTTTTTAATAATTGTCCATCAGCTGATGTAATTGGCTGCACAGTATAAGAGTGCGTGATATTATTCTTCTTTTTAACAGCAACTTCTGTTGTTCTTTCACCAGTGAAAGAAAGAGTTCTTGGAGAAACATATTCTTGTTGAAATGAGCAATGGTCACTGTTTAAAATTTGACGAGAAGAATAATTCGAAATTAAAGATCTTTGATTTTCGATCCAGTCATGAGCATCTAAAATACACATATATATCGCATGAAGATAAATAGATCAGATCTCAAATAAAAATGTATATACCTTTCAAACTACATATTTTTCTGGTTGAAGAAACTCGAGTAATAAGTTTGTTGTATCTTCTGGATGAGATTTGATATTCTCGCTTGAACATTTTAATAAATGATTCACTTGCTTTAAAATTATCCTAATTAAGCTCTCTGGCTTTTTGAATTGCAAAAAGTTCTAGATCACTATCATGGACTGCTTCTTTTTCAATTGCTCTTTTCAAATAAAATTCGTTCCACGTAAATTCTTTGATTTGTTTCAGTTTTTCTCATCTTGTGCCGTTCGTTTTAATATATTCTCTAAACCTTGCGATATAATGCATGTATTTAACTTTTCGGAAATTATACTTAATAGTTGCAATTTTACAATTCGGATGTTGATCAATCCATTCCACTATATCTTCCATCGCTTCTAATGTAAAATTATTTTGGATATTAAAATACTGATTTTCATCGTAATCGTCAATATTTTCTTCTTCGTCCGTTATTTCATCATATTCATCATTGAAATCAAAAGTTTGATAAGTATATAGTTCATTAAAGTAACTATCTTTAAATGTCTTTAAAATTTCAAATAGTTGTTGTGAAGCAAAAACTTCATCAGTACTTGGTATAGAATCTTCAAAGCCATATTCCATTTGTGTTAGATGTAAAAGATGTTTCGCAATGTTTACTAGATCCATATCTTGATTTGATGAGATCTATCTTTCTTAGTGTTAGTGGTGGTGAAAAATAAGAGAGAACGTTACTTTGAATACGCACTTGATTGAAACTCATGCATTCCAATCATAAAAGGATATACTATAGATTATGAAGTGATGCTTTAATGCAGTTAATTTTTTGATACATCACGTATGGACACCTTGCAACATACTACTTGTTCTTCGCTTATTCTGTACTATGAAACTTAAGAAGAAGTTGTAGTTAGAGAAGCCTGAATATGATTAATACGTTTTTCCAAGATTGTAGAAAGTCATTTTCTAAAAACTCTGATGATTATAT